GACGATTATATAAGACTTTATGCAGATATTTCCAGTCATAGATGAGGTAGAAAACAATTTCGTTATAAAATTTAGCTATTTACAGGATTTTCGTATAAGATAAACAATAAACATTCGCGACTCCTATATTAGCAAATATGATGTCTAACAAATAACAAATTTAACAGTGACATAAATTTTCATTGAAAATTTCACATTTTGCGTAACTACACTTTATGCCACTAAGAAAAATTTCTCATAATTAATTCCACATATCAAACTGACCTCATATTGATGTAGGCAAAATATTTTTTCCTTAGTATTAAATATACATTCTATCAAAAGACTAAATTTCTTTACAAATATTCAAGTGAACAATACAATTGTTCTAGTACTACATATTAAAAGAGTATGTGTGTTAATATTATAGAGAACAACAATCAGCTTATTTTTATAAGGTGAGATATATCAATGCTTTATTACGCATAACATCGCAGGAAAAATGAGATAAATTACATAAATTTATATCTTTTGCCTGATATACATAATTTTATTTTTAATATGCGCAGCAGATAACATTATTTATAATGTACAATCTGTTATAAATAATAACAAAAAAATCATAATTTACTATCTGTAAAGAAATAATTATGTGGAAAAAATGCGTAGTTTCAGTACCAGTTTTAAAAAAGACGTTTTTAATGGTATAAATATTTCCTAAAATGGCTGTAGAAAAGAATAGTATTTTCCCAATATGATCACGTTGAGAAGGAAAGCTATTGCACGGATTATCAGTGATTAAAGAAAAGTACATTAGTAAATTTTCAGAACGCATATAAATGTAGGCACTAATCCAATTTCTATCTTAAAGGATGTTTTATGTATAAATGGGAAGACAGTCGGTCAATTCAAAACACTATTCCAACTCATTTGAATGGTGCTGCCATCTATTGCAAATAATGATAAATACACATCCGTGGAGCATATATTTTCCTAATTTTAGCGAATTTCCGCAAATGCATTATTTTTTTAATAACACCTAAGTTAGAAAATTGAAAACTAAAAGCCTTAAATAACCTTCTTCCCTCTATAAAAGAGTATCTTTATAACAACTCTGATGTTTGGATCGTTTTTGAAAGAAATACTGTTTGAAAACATACCAATGCGTAAATTAGTAAGATATGTAAGTAGTAAATATAGTAAGTAGTTTGGTAGAACATATTAGATTGTACGGAATTAGGAATATTTTTCATAATTACAAGCGATTTTATTTTATTCTCAAACACTATTCTCATATTTTGTCTCACAGACATATGGTACTTAAATTAATCGTTCTCATAAATGACACATGCAGATTAAAATTCACAGTCTTTCCCTTCTCGAGTAATACACACAATACTTTAATATCAAGTAGATAGACACAATTAAAAACAGCGTGTTTGGAGATGCAGTATGCCAGATGGATGAAAATTTAATTTAAAATAAAAAAGGAAATAAAATAACAGAAAATTTTCTCTTATATTAGTGATTATTGTAGGATTTATAGTCATTATAGATTAGGGATTCAAAGTTAAATATCTCAATGGATTTTAAATATTATAGAATCTAATTTTTATTTAAAAATAGTTGTTATGCGAACAATAAATCCTTCCTTACTGAGGAAACATTACTAATGCTCCTATAAAATTTTTTATTGCTCCAAAATCAGTAAATTCATTTTCTAATATATAAAAAACAATTTATAATTTCTTCATTTTTAATGCCCCATAAATCTGCACAAAATTTAAAAATTATAAGAATTAGCAAATTAGCTTATTGAGTGTGATTAGCTTCGGAATAGTTCACTATAAAACTAAGTTTTTACCTTTTCTTGTACTATTTTTTAAAGAGGATAGAGGCAAAAGTACATTTTAGTTCAAATGATAACCGATAGATGGCGCTGTTTACCTGGTACTAAAATGAGAGCATGAAGAAACAACATCCATTTCTTTACAATTGTACATACGGCATATAAATTTGTAAAATAATTTAATACTGCTAATACCGTATTCTCACATGTATAAGCCGCACGTATGTCCCCCTTACCCGGCTTAAAAGTTCCTGCCTGGAATTTTTGCAATCATTGGTCTCAGTCATATACTTCTAATCACATTCATGTTTCGGCAATGTCAAATTAAAAAATAATAATAATAATAATTTTGGCTAAATAACGAATTCCAACTTTTAATGTTGTCTCCCTGTTCCTATAATTATACTTAAGAGAGCTTTATAACCGTTACGAAAAAATAAAATTTTGAGAAGTTTGACATCCGTACGAGGAAAATTAACCGAGATATTTAACTTCTAAATTTGTAGTTTTTGATGCCATTTTAGACTTGCCTTCAGGGTCAATTAATTACGTTAGAAAAATTAGAGAAAACAAGTCTATTGTATATAAGTTTAATGTAACAACAAAAAAAATGGGCATAATTTAATAAGCCGTACAAAGAAGTCATGTTGTGCTCACATCAGATTTTTAGCACAGGACGTTGACAAAGGGGACGATATTTAAAAAATAGAAAATTGACCAGAGCAGCAACAAATGCTAAAAATTACGGTTTTGGAATTTTTTATATTTTTGTTAAATATTTTGCAAGTATTATGTTCTGTGTCAAATATTACATTATATTAATTATTTTCTATACCTAATGTTTGTAAAGAAGATTTTAACCATTTTCCTGCTGTTCTTTTAAGTAAAAATTCTACCTCTTATTTATTTTTATCATTTTACCCTTATCTGTATAGCAGTTAAAGTAAGAATAAAGGTAGAGGTAAATGACATACACACACATTAAAATAACCTTACACTTCCTTCAGAATATGGTACAAAAGTATCAGATTATGTTTCTGAACTGATAAGTAAGGTATAACCTGATTATATAACATCCGATAATTAATCGATAAAAACCTTAGCAAAAGAGACAATTTCTCGCATTTAAAATGTTACACACTGATGAACTTTCACACTGAAATGAGTTTTCTAGAATTACTATTAAATGAATGCATTAGTAGCTTAAGAGCGAATTAAGAAAAAAAAAAAATGTAAAAATAGAATCAAAAAAGAGGAAACTTAGTTTTAAGGAAACAAACTAATCGATTTCATTTATTTGATAGGGTAATAAAATTATTTTCTTCAAAATCTTTTTTTTTTTTTTTTTTTTTTTTTTTCAATACAAAGTTCGAGAATTCTTGAACGGAAATAAATATAAATGAATCACTTGAAATAATTAGTAGATGTGGAAAAAAGAAAAGCTGCGAAATGAAACCATGTAATTAAAATTTGTGTAAAGTTACATCCCCCCCCCCTCCAAAGAAAAGGATTTCGCTAAAAATATGTTTAAAAAAGTGTTTGCTTAGTTTTTTTTTTTTTTTTTTTTTTTTTTTTTTTTTTAAATCCTTAAAAAAAAAAAATGCAGTTGTCTGTATGTGAACTAAAATCCTTTTATTACAAAAATGCTAAAATAATTCTTAATGTCGCCGTTTAGTCAAGATTTTGTTGTCTCTAGATTTGTTGTTGTGACAGTTGACAATATTTAGCATAGGCGTCAAAAGCATTTCTTATTAATTATAATAGTTGGGAAAATCCTGTAATTATAAAACTTATAAAATTAAAAATTACATGAATTAGCTTCTTTGAGAAAAGATTTTTAAGGCAGAATATATAATAAGTATAAATATTGTTTTTAAATCTTGGAATTTGGTAAGCAATTTATAATTGCAACTAAAAGGTAATATAATATCTTATGCTACATCAAGTGACAATAATAACCAGGTCATTTGCCTTTTGATGTTGAATTAGACAGACATGCGCACTGACTGCTTCTTGTTTACAGCCATAGTTATTCTTTAGATCTTAGTTCACCAATGCAATTATTGTTCATCATTTGCAAACAATTACACTTTCTTAACGGCATTATTTTTATCAGGTTCCTCCCCCCCCCAAAAAAAAATATAGAGAAATGTGTACTTTTACAGCAAAAATTATATTCATACAAGATGCATAACTTGAAAAAAGAAAAATAATAATTGGCGAATTTGAAAATCGTTAAAAATTAGCTGTCATTAGAATATAGTGTGAACGTCTGGGCAACCTTTTCCAAATAAGATGCTATTGCTGGTGCTGCCATCTGTGTTATCACAGTGGATTTAATTTAAGACACATTCAGAAGTGAGCAACATATTGGTTTGTTTCTTAGAGAGAACCTTACCTACGCAACAACGTAAATCATGAATCTGAGGGATATAAAACCAAATAATCTCAGGAACTTTGGTTGCCATTTTTTATACGTTTAGATACTCTAGACAGCAAAAGGTCGTCATATAAATTATTCGATAATTTTCTTCATTTCTAATCTTACGTTAGAATGTGTGGAATTTGCATGCGCTTAAGAAATAAAAGAAACAAACGAAACATAAAAAAAAAAAAAATTATTAAAAACTAAAAAGCTACAAATAATAAATTAAGATATGCAATCAATAAATCATATATGAAAATGCCAATTTATTAAGGATATCTTATATTACTTTATTATTACTTTATGATTCTTAAAACTGTTTAACTATCAATCTCAAGATTTCTATCCTCAAACAACTGCATTAATATGATAAAAGTAACAGAATATCAAACAACATAAAAATAACATTGATAACAAAACTAAAGTTTTAAAAATGCAAGAAAACACAAATTTAACATTTCTAGTAGTGCAACCTAACATTTTTAGATTCTGGTTTACAAAATTAAATTTAACCGTTGTAATTATTTGTCTATACGTGTTGAAAAAATTTTAAAAATCATAATAATTTCCATATTATAGAAATTAATTTAAAATTATTCTGTTACCAGCAAATATATGACTGTTTAACGAAATGAAAGGACGTTTATGACAAAAAGTTAGCACAGGCAATTATCTTCTCTTTGGAACTGGATTAGTTACCCTAAATCGTGGATATCTCACTGAAATAAACATCCAGTGTTTACTCACCGTACTCTAATGTTTGAACTGTGACTTCTTCTGAATGTGGTCCGCTTCCAGCTTTGTTGAATGCCTGTAGCCTTATGACGTACTGAGTAAATCGCCGAAGGTTGGTTAAGTGATGTTCCTCTCTCATATCACCACTGGAGTCAAGCGTTTTGTAAGTGTAAGTATCCGGAGAACGAAGAACTTTATACCCCAAATAATATCCTTTGATGGAGCCTCTTCTCATGTCTTTCGGAGGTGCCTAAGCAGGAAGAAGAAAATACGTATATAAATTAAACCATCTTCTGTTATTCAAAAGCTTAAATTATATAAAATCGAAAGAGATACTACAGATAATTAAATACGAATATACAAATATAGATATAACTTCGTTTTTAGTCGGGGTATAAACGATTATTTTGTCGCGAGATGCCCACCAGCTGCAGAGCGATAAAATCGCTGAACACTGGTAGTTCTAACCTGGGATCGATACCAGCAAACGGCTGGCTGTATGAGGATTTTTCGTGCTTTTCCTCATGGTCACGCGTACAGGAGTCAATTTCCCTTTGAACGTCCTCCGCGAAAGCGTCCCTCTCCTTAGACAGATAGCCCTAGTGTACTTTGCCATAATCACCCGGACCAAGCCTGACCAAACTATAGCCAGGGACACAGCATGCGAAATATATTTTATTAATCTCAATAATAGTGAAATTTTAATAAAACTATCAGTTATGTGTATTGTTAATTACATGAATAAAATGCAATATAAATTATTAAAGCCCGGATATTTTGGTGGAGAGAAATTCTCAGTTTAATAGACTTAAGGAGCAGGTTAGCGGAAATATGGTGGATGTGAAACTGTACACGATATATGCACACAGTTTAAACTACAATTTATTAAAAAAAAAAAAAAAAAGATTAAACATTTGTGAATTGAATTCTTTTATTAATTATTTGAACTTAATTACAGAAGCATTTCAGTGTTAATATTCTGTGTTCCGAAAAAGCATGTACTTGCATTAAGATTAAATCCCGTACAACATTAACACTAAACAAACAAATAATTATGTTTTTATGCAGCTGAAAACCGCTCTAAGAGAGTTTTTCTCCACCTTGGCCTAGACGCCAAGCACCTGTCAAAAGTTATGATTCTGAAATAACCTTTAATGATTCCAGTTAAACTCTTTCCTTATTATTGAAATATTTGTCAATGCTGCATTAATTCGCTTCACTATTTTTCAAACTGGATTTAGGAAATATAAATATATCACCCATGTACAGCACTAAGCTGTACATGGGTTGGTTGGCTGATTTTTTAATGGCACGAAACCTCGAGGGTTATTATGCGCCGGACAAATGGTGAAAAATATTTGAAGATGCAAAACACACTGTATAAAGTGAATTGATGAAATTGACCTGAGATGCTGATGAAGGCATGGAGGAATGACTTGAAATGTCCGGCCACTCTAGCAACAGGTAGATCAGGATAAAAGGGAAATAACTTCAAATCATATAGTAAAAGTAAAAAGGCATGTCTTTAAAAAAAAAAAAAAAAACTTATGAGGCTGATGTGGGGGTTTCTGCCAATGAGATGAAGGCATGGAGAAATGACTGAGCTGTACATGGGAGAAAGCTTTAAAATATGAGTGACTGTCTAAGTCACTTAATAAGCACTTCTGATAGTAATAATATTAGTAAGGACATTTTCAAAAATCACGCATGTGGTTTTTATCATTTGTAGATTTTTCAGACCTTAAAAATCAAAAGGTGCACTTATTAATAGGCCCATCTATGCGAGGTGACGAAGGTGCTTAGCGGCACAGTAAATCTCTCTCGTAGAATATTCGCCTGACAGCATAATGTTTTCCCTATGCGGGACTCGACGTCCAAAAGGAACATTTCTCAGAACCCGCACATTTCCACGAAACCTACGCAGCTAGGTTACCATTTTTACTTACTAAACAGAATTGAACGCCAGACAGTAATCGATTATTGCTCCGATTGGGATCACATGATCCTTCAAAAACAGAACGTTCATCTGATTGGTTGATTTCTACCCGGAACAAAGCTTCAGACGAAACATTTTCATCAAAGTTTCAAAATATCCCGCATAGCCGGGGACATCCTTTCCGTAGCTAGGCAGGACTTCGCTTCCAGCGGATCTGTTTTTTCCAGAAATTGTCCCGTTTAAACCAGTGCTACCAGAATCTCGTTTCTCAGAAACGTTCCGTCTAACTGGGACCGTCGCTAGATATGATAACACCTTAAGTTAAAAAGAGAAATTGCAGGTTTTGTACTTACAGAAGGTGTTCGCACATTTTTGTAACGATTTTCAAAGATTTTTGTATAAACAAACCTTAGAATTTTATTTTCTAATATGTTCAGTCTGATAGCCCTTTTGTTGAACTAACGTATTACATCTTGATTTAAAAGGTAAGACTTTTTCTTAAAGCATCAAGGCTGATTTTATTCCACTCCTCCTTCACAATCTTCCAGAATCCAACCAAAGTTTGGGGATGCCTCTCATAACGAGCTTGTTTTAAAAGTCCAAATGCACAGTAATCCATAGGACACTTGTTTGGGATGCATTTAAGGAGAATAGCTTCATTTCTCATTTTTTCAAAAAATAGAACACTAGATTTAGAGGTATGGTTTGCAGCCTTATCCAGAGGGAACTTAACACAGTGAAGATTGTTCGGATAAAGAGATGGAAATTTTTCTTTAAAAATAGGTGTGAAAACATATTTCTGATAGGAATCTGAATTAATTTTGAAACTTTTTCTACTTTCCTTATTTTAAGTTTTCCGTTATAAGAGAATCCAGTAATAACCATACAGCCTTTAGAAAAAATTTCTTTGTTTTCTCTGAACCAACATGTTAAGTCTTTTCCTCCTCTTTTTCGGTAGAAAATAGATCCTTTTCTATTGCAATCAAATACGTATATCCAAGCCTCATTAACTGTAACTACGAGTATTATATTTTCATTTTTCACCTGCCAAAATATTTTCATACAGCAATCTGAATATATTCTTACGCTGAGAAACATGTTTCGGCGTTATGCGAAAAACACCATTTTTTTTGGGGGGGGGGATCAGCTTTAAATAAGATTTTATAATTTTATTCACAGTTCCTACAGACAAAATATGCAAAATGATGGATGTTCTGGCAAAACTTGGCACGGATATTTGTCAAGTTGCATAACGTCTGTCAATAATATCCAATAAATAAGCATCCATGAACAGGTGCAACAACGAGTACATAGCAATAAATAAAATACTACAAGTTTAATAACAAATCTTCAGTAATGTGTACCAGTTTCTAATATTTATTAATGTTCAGCAATATGTGGCAAGGCATGAAATATTCTTATAAGCATTCAGCAATGTGTACCTAAATATACCAAGGTTGCTTTAGATACGGGTGGACGTGGCGCTACACCAATTAACCAATATGGTAGAGGGGTGGACCCCACGTCCTCCGTCACTCACTCACTCACAGTTCCTACAGAGATATTAAAGATTTTGCAATAGCTATTTGGAAGACTGGATTTTCCTTTAAAACAAGAGATGCGACTTTAGATTTAATAAAAGCTTAAATACCTTTGTTGGGTATGTATGCATTTTTTGCCTTTTTCCCAGTCAGATGAAAACTTTGAAGTTTATTTCCTTTCATATTAATTATGTCACGTATTTTACGTGTAGAAATATTAAACCCATGCTTTTAACATTTTTTTTTTTTTTTTTTTTTTTTTTTTTTTTTTTAAATTGAATAAGATCATTTCTCTTCGGACAACGCAGAAATATAGCCTTCGATCCACTGTTTATTTCCAACGACATTTTAAAGAAAAAAATATTTTTAATTTTGCAGATAATAATTTAAACCTTATTCCAACTGGATGTCAGTCACGTTTGTATTTTCAAATTAATATCTAAATTCATGGAAAAAATCAAAGTCGTTACAAAAATGTTTAAACACCCTCTGTATATCATTGCATGTTGAGGAATAACGATATTAATTCTGAACAGAAATAGAAAAATATGCTTAAGATATTTTTTATTACTTTTAAGTTCTCCCTATTTTTTTAATATAGTTGTTGAAAATAGTATTCATCGAAATTAAAACTGTCAGCTTCAAAATACATTCTTTGTATTGTTAAAATTAGTTTTAATCTTCAGAATTAAAACTGCTTATATTATTTGCGAATTCCCTAGGAGTTTTTAGCACCTAGGGAATTCGCGCGAATTCCCTAGAAGTTTTTAGCACCTAGGGAATTCGCGCTCCTTCCTGCTTACTATTGCAATGAGCAAGGGAAAGAAAATTGCCGGTCTGGATACTGACGCCCGGAGCACAGATGTCACCCCTACCTCCGCCACTCGTTACTTAAAATGACTTTAATTTATGCATCATCATTGTATGAAAGGGTTGAAATAATAAAAAAAAAATAATAATAAATAAAGCTTCGTTCAGTTACGGGGTACGTGCGAAATGTAAGATCTCAATGTAAAGTTTTTCACATAACTTTCTAGGTAACTAGGCAAGAGTAATTATTTCCCCTGTTGGACGTGATATATGCTGCCATCTAGTGGTTAATATCATTGTTTGTTAATTGTTAAACAATTGCAAACATATTAATTCAAAAAATAGTAACATAATTAAATTTACAGTTTTAATTTTTTTGAGAGTGAAACTGTTAACAACCAGCAATATATATTTTCGAATAAATTAAATATTTTATTTTTTTATTACGGTACTTCTGATTTATATGTTCATTTCATATTTTTTTTCTCATACATAATCAATTATATCTGATAACTTACTTATAAATATTAGCTAATATTATCAAATATTTTTACGCGATTAGTTGTTATTTTCTTGATTATTACATGGCATTAAATAATTCCTAGCTTTATGCTGTCATTGCATAACAGATTATTAAAAATTAATAAATTCAATAACTGTTTGGTGAGATTCAAATTAAAGAGTTCAAAGCATTTCGACAGACACTTAAATTACAAAAAGAATTCATTCTCTTCAAGAAGCCCACTGAATAACTCTTGTTGATCAGGAAAAATCTTTATTCCCTCTCCAAATTGAGTCTGATCAAATGATGTTAGCATCACGATAAAATTTTTTGACAGTTCTTACATATTGTAACTTAAGTTGGCATGAAGCTCTAAGCTATGTATTGCATGTATTGATAATGATCAGCTCAGATAAGAAATGCAAAATATTGTATAAGATAAGATAGCATATATTGCTTTCAAAATTGATTTAGGAATCCCCTTGACTTCATAAAACTTTCAAAAAATGACAAAGTGGTTCCGAAATATTAATGCAAATTTAAAAGTGAAAAAAAAATCAATCATAAATGTTCTCTAAATGTGGAAGCAGGTATTCAGAAGGGAAACGATAAGACTGTTACAGCGAGGTTAAGAAAAAGGGACATCCGCGATGCGAATATACGATATACGTATGAAAATATACGTATAAAAAATGTATTTTCTTTATAGTACAAAAAATTTCTTTTAATGTAACTGTCATGTTCTTGTGTTTTCTTAAAATAACCTTTCAAAATGCAGTTTTTTTCCATAATAAGTCACTTACTCTTTGCCACATTTAATAAAGCATCAATTACCGAAACATTCAATTTAATAAAAGAATTGTGTTTTGGATTTATTTAGTGGAATTTATTTTATTGGTGTTTTGCATCATTTGAAAATATAAAGAAAAATTTAATTACCAACGAAAGCATTACTTGATTGAATTCATTGCAATGATATTAATGAACTTACAGAAATTTAATTTAAAATCGCAATATAATTTTCACTTAAAATTATATAAAAAAAAATCTGAAGGTTTCAAATTTTAAATTACGTCCAAAGGGGCGTTTAATTAACATTTTGTGTGCTACATTTATTTATTAAATATCACGTTCTTCGCACCTAAACCATAAAATTCAGTTCAAGAGCAATATCGCAACATAATTTTAAAATGAGCCTATCTTTAGAATTTCCGATACACGGTCTCGCGCACTAGACATAAAAAATGTATTTTCTGTACAGCGTTGCCATGGCTCGCTTTGAAATCCTTCAGTTTGTGAGTCAAAAATTCGTTAAAGTTTTACAAAATATGAAATCGATAATAAAAACAAATTTCAAATATTGGGCTTCCAGATGCCCATATTCGCAGGAGGGTTACGTTATTCAAAATTGGATGGCTCTAGGTACCGTTGTTTTATCACAATGCGAGAAACATAGATACATTTATACAGATTCTTCATTATTTCATTTCTTTAGGGCGATAATATTTGGTGGCAACAATTTGAAAAAGTGAAACAACGCTTGTAGTGAATCAACGCAAAATGCTAAAACGAAATTAAAAGTCCTGTCCTCATGGGAAAATTGCCCTCTTTAGACTAAAAATTCAGTTGGAAAGCGATGAAAGAATATTATTACCATCCAAGATACTTTGACAGATGTTGAACTCGTGGCTTCAACTCGTATATCTGATGGAGGAGCAGCGGGCGCTATAAAAAATAATAAATAAATAAATAAATTTGTCTTATATCTAAAAAATACGTATACTGTACTGAGGAAAACTTAAATAATTGAAATATAACTATGTAAATTTCTCATAAAATTTAGAAGTACGAAAAAATACTAATACATATATCCAAATATTTCTTAAACATTCGTATCATTTATAGAACAGAGGAAAATGTAAATCAAAGATCCAAATGCATTATCACAAGATTCCAGCAAGGTAGACATAAACCAGTAAATAAAGAATAGAAAGAAGAAAATCTGAAAGTTTTCAGATCTTATATGAAATCCAAAAGGTCGTTTTTTTTTTAACGTATTGTGTGTTACCTTTATTTATTAAATATAATGTTCTTCGTACTTAAAAAACTTAAAATTCAATTCAACAGCAATATCACAAAATAGTTAAAAACAACATATCTTTAGAATTTCCACAGTCTGGCGCGCTGGAGATAAAGGTTTATTTATTATTTTTTTTTAATTCGGTACAGTGTTGCCATTCCTTGCTTTGAAATCGTTGAGTTTGTTAATAAGAAATTCGTTAAAGATTTACAAAATATGAAATAGGTGTTAAAAAAATTCGAAATTCAAAATTCGGCCTTCCAAGAGCCCATGTTCGATTAGAGGGCTGCGTTATTCAAAATTGGATGGCTCTAGGTACCGCTGTTTTTTCGAATTGTGAGAAACATTAATGCATTCCCGCAGATTCTCTCATTATTTAGTTTCTTTAAATATAATGCACGGCAATAATATTTGATAGCAAAAGTTTGAAATGTTAATAAAAAAAGTTAATAAAAAAAGTTAATAAAAAAGTGAAAGGATGTGAAATGCCGTTTTGAGACTTTGGTCTAATGCCCGTTTGGGCTAAAAAGTGAAAAAAAAAAAAAAAAAAAATCCTCGTTTTGACTTACTGTGCATGTACAATGAGATGAGTGTTATTATTTCGTTAATGATTAATGAATACCTGAAAACCATTGAAACTACATGATTGAATGTATTTTCCAGGTACATGAACAAAAGTATTTTGCGTATTATATTTATATTTCTCAAAGTCATTAAAATGATCAATTTATATTTAATCGACTTATTTATAATTATAATATATAAATTGATTCATTAATGTTAAATCGATTATATATTAATCAATTCTGCAATTAAGAAATTTAATTTAAATTAAATTTTAATTAATCAAATTAATGACTTCACAGATTTTACCTTAATTGATTATATTTTCAGTTCTCAAAGTCATTAAATCGATTATGACGTTGTAGAAAGGCTAATAAATATTAGGCTTAATAGGGGCGATTCCTGCCTTTTCGTAAAGGGCGTGCTGTTAAAATGAAATTTAAAAATCATCTGTGTTAATGAATGGGAATTAACATTGCGCATTCTAATTATTTATTTATTATATATTTATATATAAACTTGTAAATAAAATAATAAAGCGTAAATAATAACATTTTAAAACTCACCCATTTTCTGTTTTTGTTAATATTATGATCTCTATTAATATTTACATAAATAATTTATATTGAAGATACATATATTATTTGGTTTATGAAAAAGAAGTATATACTTGAGATTAAAATACAGCCAAAAGTCAAGAAATAACACTTCGATTACTTTCAGTTAAAATTTAAATTAATTGAATGCAATTTCTGCCCTTCTATTATGAATATTAAATTCCTTTGTAATATCTTCATAAAATAAAGACCATGCTTAAACACTCAGATGTTGGTGGTTCCCTGTAGATAATGTGCTGAATTCCCTTAATTTCTCTTGTGACTGTATTGCTGTAGTTTAATATAATTATTAATTCTTCTCGCTGCTAAAAATGATAGTTCAGCCAATGTTACTTGGAAATGGTATTTATAGAATGAGTGAAGATAATATAAAAGTTTCATTCATAATGCTCTGAATATTGTTGGTATTTATATATGGTAGGTTCATTTTTAAATCCGCAGAGGAATATAAAGCAGTCATCTCATTTTTAAGCTTTACAAAAATAAGTCTGCAGTATGGACCAGCAGTTTATTTATATAGCAATATTTCGGAACAGTTAGGATTAAAATAAATATAATTATCTTCATTCAGAAAAGTCGTAAACTCAAGTTTATTAAGGGAACCAAATATTCCGGAAATTTGATTAAATATGTTATCTAAAATTCAAGGTAATGTCGCTTGATTTGATATTTGCCAATATACACTCTTTGTTGCTTCAGATTTCTAGAAAACTATTGTTAGGAATTTCGTATTTAGCTAGGTAATTTAGTACAATTATAATTAAAATTGTTGTATTTCCCCGTGCAATGCAGCGAGATATAAATTTTAAGTGAACGCTATGCCGGAAAAGTAAGAATACAAGTGCATTTAACGTAGCATACAAATTACTGAGATATTCAAGAAATTGAATAAATGTAATTGACCACTATGTTAGCTGTAACCGTAATTTCACCCAGTTATTGCTTTCCAGAACTCTGGAGAAGCAGAAAGTACGAGAAATAGCTCGTGACCGCCTGAAAACTATAAAAGAGTTCAGTTACTTAGTTATTGTTATTGCTTGTTGTTTAGTTCCACGTAAGCTTTCTCTTTAGATGAGATTTGCATTGCGTTGTATGTAACGTTTTCAGTACACTCTTAGACAAGACTAAAAAAAAAAAAAAAAAAAAAAAACACGCACCGAGAAGATATAAAGAAAATTGGACACAAATTGATATGCATACAGGTTTCGACGGAAAATGCAAAATTTTACATTTTGGCTGCCAATGAATGAACGGTTGTCGCTACAACGCATCTGATCTGCTCAACTGGCAGATCAGATGCGTTGTAGCAACCGTTCATTCATTATTACGCACCGTTCATTCATAAGGATATTTAAGAGAAGAACTACGATTCCAGGTCATATCTTCACAATTTCATTCCGTGTACTCTGGTGGACAGTAACTAGCCTCACATACGTGGCGAAAGATATGCGCATTGTTAGATTTCAGAGGATCGTGTAGCTCCGCCAAAAAGCGGTTGGCTTATCGGCGAATAGCTCGACATTTGAGCAGAGCGCTGCACTATAGACGATGTTGGAGAACGATGAACCATGACACAGTGTCAAGAAGTAAGCGATAGGCCTAGAGAAACGACAGAACGTGAAGACCGAGCAATCGTCAGAGTGGCAATTAGTGCTTCAGTGACCGCAAGGACCATTCATAGACGCACCGAAAAGATATAAAGTGGAACATAAAGACAGAAAGGGCGTCCCTTTCTGTCTTTCTGTTCCACTTTGAGGTCTGTTGAGGTCACGGTGCCCCTTGCGCCGACTACCATTAACCTCTATATAACGCCAAGCCCATTTGCAGAGGTGTCGGGCTCATTCGCACTGGAATGTCACTGACTGGAGCAGAATAGTCTTCAGTGATGAGTCCCGCTTTGAACTGAGCCCCGATGAACAGCGAAGCCGTGTCTGGAGACGCCCCGGACAGCGGTGTGATACCAACCTGACTGTCTTCAGGCAGACAGGGCCGCACCAGAGTGATGTTGGGTGCCATTTCATTTCATAGTAGGCCGCTTTGTTTCATCCGTCAAACCACAGCACAGCAGTACGTCGATGAATTTCTAAGGCCCGTTGTGTTGCCCTCATGTCAACCACCCTGGGCTTACCTTTTCAGCAAGATAATTTCCGCCCACACTGCACATTTTACTGCTTGACTTAGCTTGCGAACATTAATTGCCACATGTCCTAGTCTCTGACCTATTAAGCACGTGGAGATTAAGGCAGGGGCCTCCAACCAGCTCGGGGTTTGGATTAACGCGGCCAGTTGGGCAGAATTGGCACGATATCCCTCAAAAGGACTCGCAAACTCTATCAATAGGCCAAGCGGATAACTGCTTGCATAAGGCCAGAGGTGACAAACGCGTACTGACCTTTTCCTTGTAAGCTAATCCTTCATAAATCATCCAATTTTTCTCAAACTGTAATAATTTGTTTTTTTGTACATGTACATCACTTTTCGTTCCATTCGGATAACTCCTTCTTGGTGTGTCCTTCTTTTTTTTTTTTTTGCTTGTTTGTCTAAGAGTTTAGATCGAAATATAACTACTGATTATACTGCGTGATAATGTGAACACTTTTACTAATGTCTCTGAGGAAATTTCCAGGGTTCTGACATATTTCTTTTGATAAGGATACATTTTATTATCGGACTTGTGCATTCAATGTATTAGGAACGCAACAATATTTTTTTTAGTCTTGTAATCTAATGCAATGTCATACGGAACTTTGAAAGATGTAATAACGGAGGTGTAAATTAAATACTTAGGTCAATGCAAGCCTCCAAAAGAAAACTTGCCTCTAGCGTATTAAAGAGGCGTAATAAATTGCTTTAAATTCAGTGGCAAACTTTGGAGTATTCCCTAATTTGTAGCTATGAGGTATGCTAGAACGAGTATGCTAGAACGAGAAATTTATCCAATCCCTCGCATTGCAGGTAAAGAGGATGGAAAAGAAAGGCGTTCTATTTGCCCGTTGTAAATGTTTCTTCAGCTGAATGCTTACTCTCTTCAGCATAATAATTTATTATGAGGGATGGGTAGAAAGACATGGGAAGTGACAGCGCGGAATTCGTATCATTTTGAATGTCTGACTCTTAAACCAATTATTCAGTGCACAGCTACAGAGTGAAAGTAGTTAATAAGGATATTATACAATGAAATGCCTGGCCGGCGGTGGATAATTATTGTGAAGAGTGGTTAATTAGTGAAGCTGGACAATCCCCACTTCGTGTATCGTTAAACAAAGGATGTCCAGTACACATCACCATATCCATATACGAGAGACTTAATTATAAATTCTTTTTTCTCAGTTTTAAATTTATGGCCACATCCTGAGGCGATGCCCCTGCGACTAAGGGTTACCAGTCTCTGGTAAAGCCGTTGCAATTACCCACAGACAGTCAAGCATGACTCGCTACAAATTCTATCGATATCTTACAGACTC